CACATGTAGACTTCAACAGAAATAGCTCTGAAGAGTCAATCCAACAAAAGGTGTACAACCCTCCCCTTATACACACACACACACACACACACACACTACACTACAGAACACTGCTGAGAGAAATTGGAGATGGTCTCAGCAGATGGCTAGGGAATCTCCCTGATGTTAAGATGTCACTTCTTCCCAGATTGATCTAAAAGTCAGCAATTCCAATCAAAACCCCAATAGGAATTTTTTGGGGACACTGACAGCCTGATTCTGAAGGTCTGTGGGAAGGCAAAGAAAGATAGGCAAGGAGAGCCGAAACCGGTTTGGCTCAGTGGATAGAGTGTCGGCCTGGGGACTGAAAGGTCCCAAGTTTGATTCCAGTCAAGGGCATGTACCTTGGTTGTGGGCACATCCCCAGCAGGGGGTGTGCAGGAGGCAGCTGATCAATGTTTCTTTCTCATCGATGTTTTCTTACTCTCTATCCTTCTCTCTTCCTCTCTGTAAAAAATTAATAAAATATATTAAAAAAAAAAAAAAAAAAAAAGATAGGCGAGGAGAAGCCTGGGGGAGCCTGCTGCAGTGGTCAAGGTGGTGTGGTATTGAAAGACCCGATGGGGCAGAGTAAGTGCAGATCCAGATCCACACATGTGGGTTACTCAGCCTGAAGCTAATGCTGCAATCCAGTGGGAAAGGGATTTTTTTTTCTTAGTAAAAGATGCTGGACTTATTGGATATCTGTAAGGGAAAAAATTACTCTACCTCTACTAGATATGTTAAATTGAGACTAATCACACACCCTAATGTGACAGCTAAAACAAAAGTTTTGGAAGAAAACAGGAAAATGCCTTCATGACCTTGGTGAGGCATGAAAAGTAGAAGCATCCTGTTTTCTAAACAGGATACAGAAGCACATAGTATGAAAGAAAAGATGATGAATTGCATCCACTGTAGGTCTTCAAGTCTCTACGTGAGCTTTCCTGGTGGCTCACTGATGCATTTGTCACCAATTCATGTATTTGTCCTGTGTGCACTGATGGAATCAGGAATGGTGTTTGATTATTGTCCACCTTCCCCACTCTTACCTGTCCCTTCTTCTGTGTCCATCTTTCACTGTCAAGGTGTGATTCCCGCCCCCACAGCCCTGTCCCTTCAGTGCATGTGTTGTGTCATGCTGCTGTCTGCTTTCTTCCCCTTGCTGCCACCCTCCTCACTTATTTCTGTACCTGCCTTGACCATCCCTGCCTTCCATTGTTTTTTTTTCTCTGTAGGACCCTGGATCTATTTCTTTGGTTTTTCCTTATTATGTGAAAGTATAGCATTCTCATTCCCTCTTCTTTTAGTTAACTATTGTTAATACTTTGAATTTTTCCTGTTTCTTTTTCCCCCCATGCATATATCTATAGATAAAGTTAGGTTGCACTGATTAATTTTTTTTATATTAAAAATTTCTTTTAACTTTCTTATTTGACATTCCCATTGACACTGGGTCTGTTTTGCTCCATTTGTTTCTCTTGGTGTCCTTTGCCTTTGTTACCTCTTCCTAAGTCTGAGCTTTTCTCCCTGTGTCTTACACCTGGATTTCCTCCAACAGCCTTTTCTCCACTGCAATTTCTAATGACACTGAAAGCAAGTTTCCTCCCCGTCACCCACCCGCTCACTCCAGCTCCTCCTCTCCACAGGGCATGCCGCCGATGACTCAGGCGCCCCGCATCATGCACCACATGCCAGGCCAGCCTCCCTACATGCCGCCCCCTGGCATGATCCCACCTCCAGGCCTCGCACCTGGCCAGATACCACCGGGGGCCATGCCCCCACAGCAGCTTATGCCAGGGCAGATGCCACCTGCTCAGCCTGTAAGTGTCTAGTCCTCCTGGGGTCTCGAATAAATAGTTAGAACATGGGAACCAAAGGGGCGCTGTTTTAGTGTGGGTGTCTGGGTAAGCCTCCCTGAGGAGGTGCTGTTGGAGGATGAGTACGAGGCCCTGGAGCAGCATGGGATTGGCATATTTGTTGGAGGAGCTTTGGAAGGTCCGGTGAGGCTGAAGCATAGCCAGCACCTGGATTCATCCTCAGGGATCTTACGACAAGCACCTGCTCTGGATATAGCAGTGCTTCCATGTGGCTCACGGTCCAGAGGGTGCAAAGTGGAGAAAGGATTCAAGCAGGGTGGGGTGGAGAACAGAAGTCAGCAAACCCACCCGCCCCCATTATACTCACGGGCTCCTGTCTCTTCCTGTAGCTTTCAGAAAACCCACCAAATCACATCTTGTTCCTCACCAACCTGCCAGAGGAGACCAATGAGCTCATGCTGTCCATGCTTTTCAATCAGTAAGTGGGGCCTGTGGTTGGGGCTAGGGGGTGATGGCCAGAAAGTGGCACCATGGGGATAGGCCTCAGAATTCTGCTAGCGGAGTCCTGTGTCTGCTTGGGCTTGGCAGGTGGGACAGAGCCTACAGCCCCTATTGTGTGGTGAAGATAAGGCTTAGGGTCAGCAGTGGCCACAGTGTATGTGTGCTGTCCTCCACCTTCATGGGGGTGGAGAGACTCTGGGCCTCAGCTTTCTATCTGTAGAATTCAAGCTACATGTTAAAAAGACCTCATTGAACACTGGCCAGACTTGCAAAAATCAGTATTCCAGCAAGCCTGGGAGGTGGGGAGGTTTGAACCTCATGCCCTGCTGTTGGCATGTAGACTCTGCGATCATTGTGCAGGGTAACCGTTTGCTGCTTAAGCAGTGAAGTTAAGAACTGTGTCTTCATCCAAAATGTGTTTATTGGGGTGTTAAGCCACTCATCTTGATTTAGATGCTTTTATTTATTTCTATTAAAAATTTTTTTAAAATTGAATTTGAGAGAGAAACATCGATGTGAGAGAGGAATAACAATCAGCTGCCTTCTGCACAACCCCCAATGGGGATCCAGCTTGAAACCTGGGTGTGTGCCCTGACCTGGAATTGAACCAGCAACCTTTCAGTGTACGGGAAGATGCCTAACCGATTGAACCACCCTGGCCAAGGATGATTTTAGGTGCTTTAGTGATGCTCTGTTTTGGAGGAGCCTCCTCTGTCGGCCTTGCTTTTCCTCCTATATGTTGACAGCACGGTGGAACAGCCAGCATACACACTGGCTAAAGACTGGTGATTTTACAGCATCTGGGCATTTCACACCCATGAAATAAGAACTGGGCTCTACACCAGGCACTTCTTGTGTTTCCTCTTCTCTTCTGGAGAGGGATGAAGAAGGTCTTTAATGAAAGGCATGTTATGGGGAGGTTGTCACTGCCAGAAAGGCTCTAAAGAAACATTTTTAAATCCTTACCTAAGAATAATTTTTACATTGATTTTTTTTTTTTTTTAAGAGAGAGATTTTTGAGGAGGATGGGGGAGAGAGAGAAACATTGATGTGAGAGACACATTGATTAGTTGACTTCCCCATACGCCCAGATGTAGGTACTTGCCCTTGACTGGGATGTGTATCCAAAATCCTTTAGTTAGTGAGCTGATGGTCCAGCCATTTAGCAACACCAGCCAGATCCCCCAGAAAATTATTCTTGTTTTATTTATTTATACACACATATCCTATCTAATAAAAGTGATATGCAAATTGACTACTTCAGCAACACCCACAAGCCATGCCTATCAGCCAATCTGGAGTGAGTATGCAGATTAACCCAACCAAGATGGCTAAGGCCACAGAAAGAGCAGGAGGCTTAGGTTTCCACGGCCATAGAGGAAATTTGCCAAGCTTTCCGCCTGTCCTGGCCTGCCTTGGCCTCCGCTTAAGGCTACAAAGTTTCAATTATAGAAGATAAATAAATCCCAGATCCCAGGGCCTCTGCTTGGGTCGTGGGGAAGGGGCTGGTTAGGAGTGGTGTTACTGGCCTGCAAACCATCACAGGCCCCTCACCCAGGCTGCCCCATGCCCCAAGGTAAACCCCACCCTAATCCGGAACACCCTTCAGGGCAAACCAGCTGGTCCCCACCCATGCACCAGGCTTTTATCCTATCTAATAAAGAGTAATATGCATATTGACCAACACACAAAACGGCTGTCCCAATGTGGTCAAAGATTGCTGCCTCAATGGGACACAAGATGGCCAGCAGGGGAGGGCAGTTGGGGGCAATCAAGCCTGTAATAGAGGGCAGTTAGGGGTGACTAGGCTGGCAGAGAAGGAAAGTTGGGGGCAACTAGACCTGCAGGGAAGTACAGTTGGCGGTGGGGGACCAGACCTGCAGGAGAGGGCAGTAAGGCATCAGTCAGGCTGGCAGGGGAGTGGTTAGGGGCAATCAGGAAAGAAGGCAGGCAGGCGAGCAGTTGGGAGCCAGCAGTCCTGGATTGTGAAAGAACAGTAGGATAAGGCTTAAATAGGCAGTCGGGCAGATTGGAGAGGGTGCAGGCTGGGCTGAGGGACACACCCCTGTGCACCAATTTCGTGCACCAGGCCTCTAGTGTGTGTGTGTGTGTGTGTGTGTGTGTGTGTGTGTGTGTATGTTTATTTTACTGATTTCAGAGAGAAAGGGAGAGAGAAACATCAATGATGGGCGAGAATCATTGATTGGCTGCCTCCTGCACACCCCCTACTGGGGATCGAGCCCACAACACAGGTATGTGCCCTTGACTGGAATCAAACCTGGGACCCTTCAGTCCTCAGCCCAACGCTCTTATCCATTGAGCCGAACCAGCTAGGACAAGAAATTCTTTTTTTTAAAAAATATATTTTACTGATTTTCCACAGAGAGGAAGGGAGAGGGATAGAGAGCTAGAAACATCGATGAGAGAGAAACATTGACCAGCTGCCTCCTGCACACCCCTCTACTGGGGATGTGCCTACAACCAAGGCACATACCCTTGACTAGAATCGAATCTGGGACCTTTCAGTCCACAGGCTGAAGCTCTATCCACTGAGCCAAACTGGTTTCGGCAGAACAAGAAATTCTTAACATGAGCTCCAGGGAGTATAGGTGGGACATTCCTCACAGTAGTCATGGTAGGGAATTAGCCCATGCAAAAGAAGTCAATTAGCTCACCATGGTGTCTGCAGCATTAGAAGGAACAGAGTGCCCCCAGCATGGTTCTTTAAAATAGTGCTGAGAGGAAATTTTGAGAAACTGGATAAAACAAGCAATTATCACATGTTAACCATGTCCACAGAACAAAACATGTAAGAATACTGATGAGTAAAAGGATACCCAGTCAACATGAGGATGGTTGCCTCATGGGGAAGGAAGTAGGGAATGAGAAGAGGGAAATGAAAGAAACAGCAAATCCTAAAGGTCAGGGGAGTGGTTATTTCTGGAGCGAGGAAAGATTGGTTATGAGAGGAAGAAGTAATGGGGCGGCCTGAGTTTGGTGGCTTGATCTAGACCACATGTGTCAAACACAAGGCCCGCGGGCCAAATCCGTCCCGCCAGGCCTTGCAATGTGGCCCGCACCGCGCTGTCATCACTGCACTCCGCTGCGTTTCCATCACAATGACAGTTTATGACTGTTCAGTAAACCATTCGGCCCGCGATTTAGGCTGGATTTTAGATTTTGGCCCCTTCTCTGATTGAGTTCGACACCCCTAATCTAGACTATGGTTGTGTAGGAGTTCGTGTTAAAATTTCTCATTAAATGATAATGTTCACAATGTGTGCACTTATTTATATTAGGGGTTTTCAACTTAGCACTATATACATTTAGGAATGGGTAATTCTTTGTTATTATGGCCATTCTCTTTATAGTAGGATGCTTAGCAACATTCTGGTCTCTGCCCACCAAATGCCAAATGTTAGGAGGAACTGCTGATTCTGTATCCCTGAGATCTGTTCCCTTCTCTCAGGTTCCCTGGCTTCAAGGAAGTCCGGCTGGTCCCAGGGCGGCACGACATCGCCTTTGTGGAGTTTGACAATGAGGTTCAGGCAGGGGCGGCTCGAGATGCCCTCCAGGGCTTTAAGATCACCCAGAACAACGCCATGAAGATCTCCTTTGCCAAGAAGTAGCACCTTTCCCCCATGCTTGCCCCCACCTCCTGTTTGGGGGCCTTCCCTCTTCCCCTTGGCTCGGCCCCCTGAAGGTAAGTCCCCGTAGGGGGCCTTCTTGGAGCCACGTGTGTGAGTGAGTGGTCACACAGCATTGTACCCAGAGTCTGTCCCCAGACATTGCACCTGGCGCTGTTAGGCTGGAATTAAACTGTTTTTTATGTTTGATTTTCTACAACAATTTGTTGTTTTTGTTTTCTTGTCCTCTATGGTTCCCTTTTCTGTATATCAGAGTAGCCTGAATTTTTAGACCTCATCTGCAACCTCAGGAAAGTGGAGTATGTAATAATATTGTCTGAGATGAAGTCACCTTTACTGCCTTGGCAGATTTCTATTTTGTCTCAATCAGCATTGAGTGCAGGAAATTGAAACCCAAGCTACCATGTACAGTTGGACAGGTTCTATACTGCACCAGGATGCCACCTTTAATGGCACACCATTCACTTTGTAGACCATTAATTTCCTAACATGATAGAGCGTAAAGGAAGACGTTTTTCTTTGCCTGTTTCTAATCTTCACAGAGTGCCTCCTGTTACAGCAACAGTCCCACCCTGGGTACTTTAGGAACAAAGAAGGGAATTATTTAGATGCTCATGAAATCATTTGGAAGGATAGTAGGAATGGCAGTCTGGGTTTTAGACACTTGAGTTCAAGTTTGTAACCCCTGATAGAATTCAGGAAGATGCCACTGCTACACCAACAGGAGGCCCAGGCGGACTTGATCACACATGGGAAGCTACCGACCAGATGTTGGCACAAACTCAGCTGACTCCGTTGCTGCTGCCAGCCAGAAGATTCAAATTTCTCTTCAGTGCTCTAGTGGCAGGGGAATCTGGGAAATGTAGTCTCTGGCAAAAAAAGTCATGTTTGCAGCTGAAGCTATGGATAAAGGAAGATGGAATAGAGGGTCTTCCTTAATGGTCTCTTACACATCTAATCTGGAGAATTTTATATTGACTCAAAAAAATATATTGCTTCAGACCCTTTCTCATACCATATAGATGGGAAAATAAGATTATTTGACAAACACAAAATGAACCACAAAAACAAGTGCAATAGGACATAGGCTTATATTCTCTGAATATTTTTCCTGCCAAGGCTAGCCCACACCTGTCTCTCCTCTGGTCTTATCGTTAAAGAGGAACATCAGTAAAGTGATGAGACCTGTAACACCAAATGCAGGCTTTCTCCCAGTACAGGCGTCCTCAAACTTTTTAAAGTGGGGGCCAGATCACGGTCCCTCAGAGAGCTGGAGGGCCGGACTATATGAACTACTAATTCCTACTGTAACACCTCGGCTGCCCTCACTGCCCAAAAAACCTGGCGGGCCGGATCAGACTGGGCCATAGTTTGAAGACTCCTGTAAGATCTGAAAGATTGGAAGGAGAAAGAGATGTTCCCCTTTACTACAAGACAGTGTTTGCAAATGGCAAGTGGAAACATTTTTTATTTTTAAAATTTATGTATTTTTAAAATATTTTTAATTGATTTTCTTAGAGAAAGGGAGAGAGAGAGCTAGAAATGTCGATGAGAGAGAAACATCGACCAGCTGCCTCTTGCACACCCCCTACCGGGGATGTGCCCGCAACCAAGGTACATGCCCTTGACCGGAATCGAACCCGGGACCTTTCAGTCCACAGACCGACACTCTACTGCTGAGCCAAACCGGTTTCGGCGCAAGTGGAAACATTTAAAAAATATATATTTTACTGCTGAAACCGGTTTGGCTCAGTGGTAGAGCGTCGGTATGGGGACTGAAAGGTCCCGGGCTCGATTCCGGTCAAGGCATGTACGTACATTGGTTGCGGGCACATCCCCGGTAGGGGGTGTGCAAGAGGCAGCTTGTCGATGTTTCTCTCTCATCGACGTTTCTAGCTCTATTTCTCCCTTTCTCTCTGTAAAAAATCAATAAAATGTATTTTAAAATATATATATTTTTACTGAGATTTTACAGAGGAAGGGAAAAGGATAGTTAGACACATCGATGAGAGAGAAACATCAATCAGCTGCCCCTAACTGGAATCAAACTTGGGACCCTTCAGTCTGCAGGCTGATGCTCTATCCACTAAGCCAAATCAGCTAGGGCTTTGTGGAAACATCTTGCCCAACACACTGGTTCTGTGATCAGCAGATCCCAGTCTCTGCTGTCTGCATGGGGGACACGCAGACATTCCTAGCTATCCCTTCACCTAGTTATTTTCTTGTGCGAAGAGAAACCCATGTTAATACTGGGGTATTGTTTGTACTGTCACTCTCCACTGCCAGGCACTCAATAAATTCAGCAGATACTTGCTGAGTACTTTTTCTGTGCTAAATACTGATCTTGGTATAGGATATACAGTGGTGAATAAAATAGATAAGCTAATTTTAGGCATTGTGTACCAGCAAAACGTCTTGTAGTGATTGGGTGATTCAGGAAGGCCCCTTGGAGGAGCTGACATTTAAGTGGAGCTGTTGAATGTTCTCATATTTGTTGCTGAGTGTTGGGTATGTTTTACACGCCCCGATGAATTTTCCACTCAAGACTTTGTTTATCCTCTTCCCCCCTGAGAAAATTTGGACTTGCTGTTCCAAAGGTGAGAATGCCTGGGGAAAGAGATGGATGCCCAGGAGAATGATCTCACCACATGGCTGTCTGATTTGCAGCACAATGTAGAAGTGAGCCTTGAATTTAAATTCTCCATTTTCTGCCGAAACCGGTTTGGCTCAATGGATAGAGCGTCGGCTTGGGCACTGAAGGGTCCTGGGTTCGATTCCGGTCAAGGGCATGTACCTTGGTTGCGGGCATATCTCCAGTGGGGGTTGTGCAAGAGGCAGCTGATCGATGACTCTGTCTCATCGATGTTTCTAACTCTCTATCTCTCTCCCTTTCTCTCTGTACAAAATCAATAAAATATATATTAATAAATAAATAAATAAATAAATTCTCCATTTTATTCTAATACTGACCAACTGAACTCCAAACTTAGTATGGGCCTGGAGCCAAATCTAGCCACTGCACTTCTTGGCTCTAACCTTGTGGATAACTTTAAGTCTATACACTTCTATTTCCACACGAAATGGGGTATTCATTGGAGTCAATAAAAGTACATACCATATTTTTCTTTGTATAAGATGCTATTTTTTTCTAAAATCATTAGACTGAAAATCAAGGATCATTTTATATACAGAAGTCAGTCCAGGAGAGAGCCATGTGGATGCATAGCTGCCCATACCTTATCAAACAGGCTTCCTCCAATCAGTTACTGATGTTAGCTGATGCCATAATTGGAGGTGAAAAGTGCACAGATGCAGCAGGGACTGGAGCATACTGAGCCTATAAAGATGTAAAAAAATAAAAGATAAATACCGTTAAGCAATTGTCTTACTCAGCAAAAATTCAAACAATGTAATTAGCTATGCAAAAGAGCATGGAAATAGAGCTGCAGAGAGAATTTGACTTTCTCCCACTGAGTGATCAATCAGTGGAGAAAACAGGAATTACAACTCCTTAAGATGCCAAAAAGGTCCTTACGAGGAAAATCAGCAAAATGTTGAAAATACTGATTTGCTCTGGCTGATTTGGCTCTGGATGGAGCATCAGCCTGTGGACTGAAGGGTCCCGGGTTTGATTCCGGCCAGGAGCACATTCCTGGGTTGTGGGCTTGGTCCTCCAGTGGGAGGTAGTAGGGGGTGTACAGGAGGCAGCCGATCCATGATTCTCTCTCATCATTGATGTTTCTATCTCTCATTCTCCCTTCCTCTCTGAAATCAATGAAAATATATTTTTAAAAAAGGAAATAAGTGATTTCTTAATTTGGGGTTGGAAAAGGGGGAAGGGGAGTCATACATGGAATAATACAATAATTAAATGGTGACTGCATTATAAAGAATTAGCTTTTATTATCTATTGTATAAATGAGAATCCAAAAGGAGAATATAGCTTAGCCCAGATAGTCAGGAAGTGACTGGTGAGGATAAATAATGGCCACGGCAGCGTATATCTAGCCAAAGGTCCAACATACAATATTCACTCAGTACTTGAGAGCTGGCGCTATTCCTGGCAGTCAAAGGGCTGCCTGTTCTGTCCCTCAGCACAGGAAATTCCAAGCTAGGTACCCAAGCCAACTGGAGAAGATGGAATTGAATATCTCAGCTTGCCTGTCTGGGCCTCTGAATGCTGAGGGGGTAGCTATCACTTAGAGTGGCCTGGCAGCTTTGGAGCTCTAGGCATTTCCTTGGGTGGGAAGCCCTCACCCTGTCCTTGAAATGGTTCTGGCTGGGTTGCAGCCCCTAGGTGGTGTGGGCGAAATTTGGGACTGGTTTAGGGCAGGGATAAGACTGAGAACACAGGATTCCTTGTACTGCTGTAAAGAGGGAAGGCAGGAGGATATTGAAGACCCCATTCCCTGCTTAGTCAATCTCCGGCTCATAGTCCATGATGACTTGGCTTAGGATGTTCCTCGGTGTCATCTTCTTGCTGTCTGCCTTCTCAGGACCTACTGTTGGGGGCCGCCCCATGCCCAAGCTGGCTGACTGGAAGCTGTGTGCCGATGAGGAATGCAGCCGTAAGAGTTGGGGTTGGGGTTGGGGGGCTTGGATTGCCAGCCTGAATGGAAGTTGTTATCATTCCCTTATATTCTTTCCCCAGACCCCATCTCCATGGCTGTGGCTCTTCAGGACTACGTAGCCCCTGACTGCCGTTTCCTGACCATACACAGGGGCCAAGTTGTATATGTCTTCTCTAAGCTGAAGGGCCGTGGTCGGCTCTTCTGGGGAGGCAGTGTGAGTCTTGGGAGAAGAGAAGAAGGGATATGGGGCTTGTGTGGGAGTGCATCCTAATTTTCCACTAAAGGAAAAATTTGAGAGGTGAACTGAAATAGAGTTTATGGGTACTATTGTGATCTACTTTTACTTTGTTTAACAATAATTATAGGGCACCTCCTATGGTGCCAAGTTCTGTTCTAGGCATTGAAGATATAATTCCATGTATAAAAGGTTAATATGCAAATTGATTGAATAGCAGAACGACTGGTCACTATGATGCACACTGACCACTAGGGGGCAGATGCTCAATGCAGAAGCTGCCCCCTGGTGGTCAGTGTGGTCCCACAGGGGGAGGCTGCTCATCCAGAAGCACTGAGCTGGCAAGCACAGTGGTGATGGCAGGGGGCGGGCTCTCCTGCCTTCATGACAGCGCTAAGGATATCCTACTGATGGCTTAGGCCCGCTCGCTGGGCATCCCCCGAAGGCTCCTGGACTGGAAGTGGGCACAGGCCAGGCTGAGGGACTCCCCACCCCACCCCAAGTGCATGAATTTTGTGCACCGGGCCTCTAGTCTATATAAGAAAAACCTAAGCGACCATTCTGGAAGAATGACCAAGAATGGCCAATTGCTATGATGTGCACTGACCACTTGGGGTCAGGCACTCAATGCAGGAGCTGCCCCCTTGTGGTCAGTGCCCTTCCACAGCGGGCGCACCACTCAGTCAGAAGCTGGGCTCACTGCTGGCAAGCGCAGTGGCAGGAGAGGATCCAGCTTCTGTGGCTGCACTAAGGATCCCAGACTGCAAGGGGGATCCAGGACTGCAAGAGGGTGCAGCCTGGGCTGAGAGGACCCCCTCCCCCCACAGTGTACAAATTTGCACTGGGCCCTAGTAGCAAATAATACTCATCCAAGGAGTGAGCATATTTTTTCTATTGATTTTTTAGAGGGAGTATAAAGGAGGTGGGAAGGAGGGAGAAACATCGATGTGAATGACAAACATTAGGTGACTTCCACAAGCTCCCTGACCAGAGCTGGGGATCAGACCTGTAACCCAGGTACATGTCCTTGGCCAGGAATTGAATCCCATTCTCCCAGGCACAAGGCACTCTAACAACTGAGCTTACTGGCCAATTTCAAATAATCCCTTTTATTCTAATGGCAGAAGACAAATCATCAAAGATATTAGCAAATGTGCTTTGAAAATGTATGAGTGAATGGGTGACTACATCAGGTGGTCAGGGAGCCTTCAGAACAGGTGACTTTAAGCTGAGTTCTGGTTGACAAGGAAGGAGCCAACCACGTGGAGATCCCTGAAGAGCTAGTACAAAGATCTTTAGCAGTTGTGAGCTTGCCATTTTCTCAGACCCAGGCTTTTAAACCCCTTTTCCCCAGGTTCAGGGAGATTATTATGGAGACCTGGCTGCTCGCCTGGGCTTTTTCCCCAGTAGCATTGTACGGGAGGATCAGACCCTGAAGCCTGGCAAAATCAATGTGAAGACAGATGTGAGTGTGTTGGGGGCTGGCAGGGATCTGGAGGGAGGATCCTTGGGTTTTGATAATGGGCAGAAAGCCTACCTTTGGCTGCCTGGAAGCCTAGCTGTGTATATTGAGACAAGTTTTCTTCCTCAATTTTCTCATCTGTAAAATGGGCCATGATTTCTAAGTCCTGTTGCAGTTGAGATGTGCAAGATTACAGGTCTCTGAGCTATTTTGCATTGCAGTTGTGTGGCCAAACTTGGCCCCTAAGGCTACAGCCTTTGCTAAAACCCCCTAGATCCTTGTGGTATGATCACTGGTTTTGTCCCCACTGTTTTCCCTTTCTTTTTTCCAGAAATGGGATTTCTACTGCCAATGAGCTCAGCCTACCGCTGCCCCTGCTGTTTATTTCTCCCAGCTTTATGCAAATACATCAGCCAAGTACAAACTGCCAGTCTCTGTGGTCTTTGTGGTGGGGATCTACTGGTATAAAGGAAATGGGTCCCCAGGTTCCTCAGTCTGGCCAACCACCACCCACTGACTGCGGTAACGTCAATGGTTGCTAGGTAGAATTTCACTGAGACAGCATTTTGCTTTAAGCTGGGTATCCGAGGTGGGCTTCTAAACTTCGATGTCGCACACAATCTGAACGCCCAATAGGAAACTGTAGTGTCTTCTAAACCAATAAATGGAATGATGTGAAAGTATTGGGAATGAGCCAGTTGGATCTTGAAGACAGTCGCAGAGCAGAGGTCTTGGAAGATTATCTGCAAAGGGAGGAGGGAGGTGGTTAACCTGCGCGTATCTCCCCCAATATTCGTCCTTCCCGGCTCTGAGGTCAGAAATCGTACTTGCTTGGCTCTTTAATCAATCCGGTCCTTACCCCCTTCTTTGCACCCATATCCCCGCCCCCAAGTCGGAGTCTACCCAATGTGGAGACTCGACTTGGCCCCCCAACTCCTGACCAAATCCGTTTCTTCGCTCGGCTAAGCATCTGCACCGCCCCTTCCCACTTGCTCCGCCAATCGCTTGTCTTGGCCCCTCCTCTTTCGGCTCGTCCACTCACACCGTCAATCCGTGCCTTAATGTCCCGCCCCCTGACGGCCGGTTCCGCCAATCCCTGTCCTTGGGAAGTGTGGCCGGGTATCCTGAGGCCCTAGGGGTCGCGCCGGAGGCGGGTGGAGGCGGAAGTGGCGGCGCCGGGCTCCCGAAGTAGGAAGAAGCCGGGGCTGCAGCCCGAGTGGAGCGGCTGGAGCAGGCGCGGTCGCGGCGCCATATTGCGGCCCTAAGCGGCCACGACCGAGTCATGGCCGAGACCTACGGTGAGGATTCGGGGCGTAAGCTGCGGTCGGGTGTCCGGGCCCTGGAAGGATGCGGCCTGCGGGGATGGGGCGGGGCTTTAGGCAGGGGGCGGGGTCTGGTCTGGTCTGGGCAGGGCCTAGTGGTGCTGGGAGGGGTTTAGTGGGTCTGAGGCTGAGCCTAATCGATTTGGGCGGGGCCTGCGGGTCTGGTGGTGTGTTTAATAGTTTGGGGCGGGCTTGAGGGAGGCCCATCCTAATGGATCAGGGTGGGCATTGAGGGCGTGGGTGGGCCTTAAAATGTCGGGGTGGAGCTTGCGTGGTTGGGCAGGGCTGAATAGCAGGGATCGAGTTTGATGGGCTAAGGGTTTCCTGAAGGGATGCTCTGGACCCTGTGACTGCTCTGGCTTGAAAGGTCTGGAATGGGGTTGGGGATGAGTTGTCTTTGAATTACGGGGTGGGACTAGTGGCAAGGGGTGGGCTTCAAGCTTGAGAATAGGGGCAGGGCCTAGCGTAGAGGGAAAGGAAGGAGGGACTTAGAATTAGAAAATCAGGATGGATGGATAGGTGGGAGGACAGGGTGCAGTAGAAAGATCACTGGTTGAGGAGTCAGAGGGGAGCAGCATTCATTTAACAAACAGAGAAAAGCATAGGCAACAAGTACAGAGACCCTGAGGCGGGAGGGAAGCAGCTTGTCATCTTCAGGAGCAGACTGAAAGCCAGAGGCTAGAGTGGAATTAATGAGTCAGAGTGATAGGAGGTGAAGTCCTGAGGGACAAGGGTAAGATTGTAGTCCTCGATAAGAGAGGCCTCAGCAATGTACAATAATAGCTCTGGACTCTGGAGCCAGCTGGCCTGGGTTTGTTACCAGCTTTGCCTAGCTGGGGGCCTTGGGCAAGTTAGCCTTTCTGGCCTCAGTTTCTCATCTGGAAAATGGGATAATTATTAGTACAACTCCCTCGTAGAATTTTCCCAAGGATTAAGTGATTTGTTGAGGTGGGCAAAGAACTTCAGAACAGTGTCTGGTACATGGTAAACATTATATAAGAATTTTCTGTTTTTGTTACCCACTACTCTGCTTGTGTTTGTTTCTCTCCCTATAACTGTATTGGCCTCTTGGTTTCCATATTTTCTCCTGAATGTTTCTCTTTGTCTGGATTTTCCTGATTTTGGCTCCATCTGCTCAGACTTCCTCTTCAAATTCCTGGTGATTGGCAGTGCAGGAACTGGCAAATCATGTCTTCTTCATCAGTTCATTGAGAATAAATGTGAGTGTCTGGGAGTGGTCCCGGGAGCACTGGATGACTGGTATGGGCATGGTGTGAATAAGTGGGCAATGGTTGGATGGGCAGGGGCAGAACTGCCCATAGATACAACTCCAGAGCTGGCTGGCTGCCTGGCCATTGCTATGGTGTATGCTCTTTGCTAGTTTCTCCTTGAGCCTCAGTCTTCCTAGAAATGAGAATGGGTTGAGGGGGCCTTGGAGGACAGGGAATCTTCTGAGCTCCTACACTGCCTCTTTTTGCCCTCCCACTACTCCCAGTCAAACAGGACTCCAACCACACGATCGGAGTGGAATTCGGATCCCGGGTAGTTAACGTGGGTGGGAAGACTGTGAAACTGCAGATTTGGGACACAGCTGGCCAGGAGCGGTTTCGGTAAGTGGGCTGGGCTCCCAGGGAGAGAGAGAGTGGGGGTGGGGGTGGGGGTGGGGGTGGGGATGGGGGAGGAGAGAGGAGAGGAAATGGGAGAGAGAGGTGTTCAGAGACACTTGGAGATACAACAAAGATAGGAGCAAGGGGCTACTGAGAGGGCAGGCCAGGCAGAGGGAGAGAGGCAGAGATTGAGTAGCAAGTATATAGAGCCAAAGAGAGGAGTCTGGAGAGAGGATGACAGAGACGGGGAGAAAAAGAGACTGAGAAAGAAGCATAATAAAGGATGAGAGAGCCAGGGAGAGACCAAGTTTGAAGAGAAAGATACCTGGGTGGGCACCAGAGGGTAGAGATGGAAAGAGAGTGACTAAAACAGAAAGAGAAAAGGACACTTGAAAGAGTTAAATAGAGAAGGAGAGAGAGACAGAGACTGAGAAGAAGAGAAAGAAAAATGAGACAGAACAAAGATGCAAAGGGGGATAGGGATAGCAGAGAGATGGAGAAATCTCTGCATTGGGGCAGAGAGAGTAATGACTAGAGCTCAGTGCACAGTGTGTCTTCAGGAAGTGTGTGGAGAAAGGTGATAGACATATAGAAACCCTGAGTCAGAGGAAGAGACAGAAGAGAAACAAGGGAATGCAGCCCATGAAGCAGGGCTGCTAGGTTAATAGTCATGTGTTAGTTCACTGTGTGAGCCGCACAGACGCCGGGCCAGAGACGGGGGCGAAGGAAACAGGTGTCTGACACACACTGGGTTTGCAGTAAGCGCTCAGTAAATGCTGCAGGATGTTTGCATGAGTTTCGGGGGACCCAGACTGGTGGCACAGGGAGATGCAAACAGTTGGCCACACTGGGAAGGGGGCCTCCCCCAGACACAGCAGAAGTAGTTGCATAGCATTTGGCCAAGACTAGGCAAAAGGGACATGACAGAAAATCTTGAATGAATGAATGAATGGTGAGCATGAGTGAGACAGAGACAGAATAGAGATTTAACACACACACACACAACAGAGACAGAAAGACAGACCAATGAAGGAATACAGAAATACTGGGACACATGAGAGTTAAAGACAGAGAAAGACTCAGAGGCAGACAAAGAGCTAAGTGATGCAGAGGTTGAGGGAAATAGTGACTGTGAGACAGAGAGGCATTGTAGTGAGACCAGATCGTGCCAGGTTTTGGGGGAAGGGCCAGCAGTGAAGGGGGCCTCCAAACCACCAGTCTCTATACAGAGGGGGGCAGTCTTGGGGCAGACCCCAACCTGTAAGGTGACTGGGAACCCCTCGCCCCCCAGGTCTGTGACACGGAGTTACTACCGAGGGGCGGCTGGAGCCCTGCTGGTGTACGACATCACCAGGTAGGCGTGTGACCTGGATGGGGTAGGATCTGGGTGGCCCCTCTCCTGCACCTACCTTCCTTTTTTCTTCTTCTCCACAGCCGCGAGACTTATAACTCGCTGGCTGCTTGGCTGACAGACGCCCGCACCCTGGCTAGCCCCAACATCGTGGTCATCCTCTGTGGCAACAAGAAGGACCTGGACCTGGAGCGGGAGGTCACTTTCCTGGAGGCCTCCCGCTTTGCCCAGGAGAACGGTGAGAGCCATAGGGTGAGCAACAGGCGGGGACAGTCCCCTGGGCCCGTGGACCTTCTGGCTCTCTCTGGCCGTGTCCAGCAGGAGAATGTGGAGGTTTAGAGAGGTCTGAGTTCAAATCTGAGTGTTGCCACTTGTGTATCATGTGACTGCTCTGGTCCTCGGTTTGCTTGTCTAGAAAGTGGGGCTCACAATGTTTCTGCCTCACATCCGGCATGCTGGTTAAGGGACATGGTTCATGGAAAGCCTTTAGCAGCACCTAATGGAGTGGGTACTTGATAATGCCGACTGCTAAGAAGGTTTCCACCACCATGACGAGGGCACAGGGTATTGGTGTAAGCTAGATACTGCAAACTCCAATGGCCCTCGGGGACAGGCGTGTTTTGTGATTAAAGGAGATAGGTCAGGATTGACCCACGTTAGCAGGCACTAGCATCAGTGGATTTTAACTGACAGCCTGTTAAAAGATATGCAAGCCCTAACCGGTTTGGCTCAGTGGATAGAATGTCGGCCTGCCGACTGAAGGGTCCCAGGTTCGTTTCCGGTCAAGGGCATGTACCTTGGTTGCAGGCACATCCCCAGTGGGGAGTGTGCAGGATGCGGCTAATCGATGTTTCTCTCTCATCAATGTTTCTAGCTCTCTACCCCTATCCCTTCCTTGCTATAAAAAAAAAAAAATATATATATATATATATATATATATATATATATATATATATATATATATTTTTTTTTTTAAAGGTATGCAAGTACAAACCCATTTGAAAATATTGTGTTGGCCAAATATCTGCTGGCTTAGGGACTGTTCATGTTCTTCCAGTTTGTAATCTCCAGGGTTAGAGGAAGTTTTGCCATCAGAAAGATGGGAGTTTCAATCCTGGCTCTTAATTTACTTTGAGG